AAGCCCAAATGGCTGCTCACCATAGCCTTCGCGTCCTCCGAAGAAGCAAAAAGGAGTGCTGCAGCAGGCCCTGCCCAGGCCCTTGTCCGGCGGAACGTCCCAAAGCTCTTTAGAGCCACATTGATAGGACAAGCGGGGAACTCGGCCACCCCCGGCCTCGTTCTGAGGCGGAGTCAAGGTCCCAACCAAGGCAGTCTCGTCGGGGTGAGCAGGGCAGCCCGTCCACTCCGCCAGGCGATTCTCAATCTTCAAGATCAGCTCTCGCCTCCCCAGGTGAGCAGGGCGCGCGACCCGTGTGCGAGTGGCTTCGGGGATTCCACTGCATGGGTTCGAACAGCTTACTCCCTTCACAAGCTGCCAGGCGTCTGTTCCGGCGTCCAGACCGGATCATCCACTGCCAGAGGAGACCGCAGCTTTGTTTCGAAGTTGGTTCCGTGTGAGCGCTGCAGAATCCTGAACTCAGCAGCAAAGTCACCGAATACGGCCAGTCCAGCTATCCGCAGGTTCTTCCAAGCAGCATGCTGATGAGGGTCTGGCACTCCAGCGGGCTCAAGAATTTGCGCCTCCGGCTTTCAAAAACAGACGGCACAGTGCCATGTGCACGAGCCGGGGGCTCGACTGGAGGTACGCCCGTGGCTTCCGGGATAGCAGCTCCATGTGATCTTCTGAAAAAGGTTCCACTGGAGAAGACTCCTGTCTGGCATAATTTGCTGCTGCAGGCAGAAATAAAATGGCCGAACTTGTGATTCTGCTGCGTTTTCACCGTATTGGCAGATATTGGCAGTATGCCCTTGCCCAATGAAAAAGATTGCGAAAGCCGGATTGCCTAAATTGAACCTGCTCTGCGAGGCAGTAGCACAACAGTGTTCTGAGCGCAGCACAGGAAGGAGAAACTTGGGATGGGAATGTGCAGAATGTCCTCGCAGTAGCTGCAGACTCGGCTGCAGCGGCCCCTCTTTCCCTGTATTTTCGAAGTGAGTGCGTTGTGTGGTCTTGCGTGCCTTTATCGCTTAGATTCTACTGTAGTGAGTCAAGAGTCTTGTGTCAACCACAAAGCCACACCTGCTGCCGCTAAGTGTTGACAAACTTTGGAATGAATCCTGAAATCCTGTGTTTGTATTTATTGTTTAATTGATGCATCAGCATGAGGAACCTGGCGAGATAAATAGGAAGGCGACTGAAGGTGAGAATCGGCCTGAACATGAATCTGGCAATGTCAATCTTAAGGACAATGAATCAGCAGGGCTATTATGATGATGACGACAATTATAGTGCGTGAGAAGGACGAGAAGATGAAGCCCTGCTCGCACAGGGGCTGGCAGCAGAAGCGGACTCATGAACAAACTAAGAGCAAACCCTCCCTCCCACGTGCACGGAAACGGGCCAGCAGCATAATATGGGTCTTGCTAATGTCGCATTGGCAAACATGCCCTTGTGGAACCCCTTGCTGGCGAAAAAAGTGTCACAGTATCAGCAGCTGCGAAAAGCGGGAACTGCCTCAGACTTCAATGCCTCGCCAGGATCTAGCAACAACAACACAAAGATCGAACAGCTCCTTGCAGACTTTCGCGAGCGCTGTCGTGATGATCATCCTCTCCACGCCGGAGAGCACCTGAAAACTGCCCTACTGTTGAAGAGACACCGTGGCCCGTGACTCTAAACTGATCGAGAGCCTAGCAAACAACCAAACAGTCGGAGCTCGAAAGGCCAAGCCATCTCAAGCGCCAGCTCGCACACGACCGGCCTATTCGAGGATACTTCGCCACGAACTTCCGCTGCCAATCGTCGAAGGCCTTTTGGACAGCTGTCCGGACCTGACAGCAAGCGCTTCAAGTTCAGCAGCTCCTCTGACAGCGCAGCGTTTCGCTCATAGCCTCTGCAGCTGTCATTTTTTCCCTGAGCTGCCGCACTTGAACGTGATTGAAAGCGATGTGGGGGACCGCAGCTCAAGCTTCATCTAAAGGCCAGTGTCTGCAGCTTTTCCACCAAAGTCGAGATGTCGTCTAGGTCGTCGCGGCCAACATCCAAAGGGTCCAGCGACATCGTGGAGAGTGCCCTTGCACCTGGGTTCAAGGGTGTCTGTTTAAGGTACAAGGAAGTATAACATTACAGGTTCAATTGCAGCTGGCACGGCTCGCATATGAGTCCAAGCACACTCACGCCCAGCGAGCTGATGGTACGGGCCCGGAGGCGACCTGGGACACACCCCCGACGAATGAAGGAACCTACTCGCGATTCGCAACATTCCTCGACTTCGTGGACGAGTCTCCAAGATTGCACAGAAGATCTGAGCCATCGGCTTGCCATACAAACTTCTACTGCTGCTAACATCGTAAACCTGCGCAGCACAAGTAAGAGGTAGCACTGGCGGGCTCACGTGCAGCCACCTGGCCCGAGAAGCTGATGTAAATCTCACTGCAAAGCTCTCCGTCGAAGCACGAGAGCTCCTGAAGGCAAGATTGAAGCTTCAAGCTGACAGGAGAGCAGAGCACATCAGACGGGCTAACGAAGCAGGTCCTTGCAGGAGAACACTCGGCAACTGGATTCGCCGGGCATTGCCATCCGCTACTTAAAACGCCTTCGGTTGTCAGCACGTGTCCTGAGCTTGGAACTGCTTCTGCAGGCCTTCTTCAGGTGTACTGTGGCGCAGTGCAGGGCTGCCTAAGCAAATCGTCATAATCGCCTCGACAGCACAGGAAGAACACGGCAAGGCCGTGCAGAGCTGCACGTGCTGCGCATGATAGCACATGTTCAGAAGAAATATTGGTCGAGCCACACGCAACTGAGAGCCCGCAGCTGCTGTCTTCAAGCCAACCGCATGACTGACCCTCCTAGTCACCCCACAAGAACGGAAAACAACAGTTCAACATCCAACTGCCACCTGTGGATTGAGCATGCCGCTGCTTCTATTTTCCATGCTCAGCAGGGATTGCAGTGACCAAACTCACTGATAACCTTGGTACTGTACAGGCCGTCAGAGTGACAAACAACTGTTGGAAGCGGAGTGCTTGGGCTCGAGCAAATCAGCCATTGCACGCTCTGCTCAGGGAGAGATCCAACGTAGACCTCTTGGGCCGGAGGGTAGAAGGCTCAGCTGGTGCTTTGGCAGTCGACAGATGTCCGAAAGTGCTGGCTCGAAGTCTTTCCGGAGAGAAGATTCTTGGACATCTGGAGATTAAAACGTCGTTTCGCAGCTTGTCCGACATCTTGAAGTATTTCACACTTGCTTATGGATGCTTTTTTGTTTCTGCTGCCACTTGGTGTGTATCGATGTGCTGCTGCATTTCTTCATACGTCACACTGCCAAAGAATGCCCCGTCTCACATCGGACTGAGGATGAATCATGACCCATCTCTGCCAGGTCGTAGCCGCCACCACCATGGAGCTGGAGCTTCACGGCACTGGGAAAGTTCTGAGGATGCACAGCACTCCGGGCATGTCCGAAGTGGAGGCAGGCCAATGAATGCCCGGGAGGACCTTCAGTGAGAATGCGATGGCAGCCGACATCTGAAATCTGCGCCTGACCCGAATCAAAATGCTCTCAAAGTCCGTCGTGTTCCCTCCAGAGCCAACCTCAAGAGATGCTGATTCTGGCCAGGTGCTTCTGTCTGCGTGCCGAGGGTAAGCCCGACACCATGACGAGCCCCGCAGATGTCACCTTCAAAACATGGATGGGGGCCCGGGAGCAGCACAACCATCCTGTGAATTTCAATGGATTCGAGACTCCCTGCTGGGCTGGCACGGAATGGGCACTAGTCACTAGCTATCGGGGCTGCGAAAGTTGAGGCTCCATTGCAACTCCCGGCCAGCTGGTTTCGATGACAATAACACGGCTTCGAAGAGCTACTATTGCTCGACTTCGATGATTCAAGCTCTCGCTTCTTCTGCTTTGCCTGTCTCTTCCGCTTCCTCACCACAACCACGGCTGCTACTTACTACTACTACTACTACCACTACTACCACTACTACCACTACTACCACTACTACCACTACTACCACTACTACCACTACTACCACTACTACCGCTACCACTACTACCACTACTACCACTACTACCACTACTACCGCTACCGCTACCGCTACCACTACCACTACCACTACCACTACCACGACGACGGCTGCTACGACTACGACTACGACTACGACTACGACTACTACGACTACGACGACGACGACTACTACGGCCGCTACTCCTGCTGCTTGTTCTGCTCCTACTCCACGTGTTAATCCGGCTGCCAGCTACCACAACTGGTTAGCTGACACCAGCTGCTGCTGCTGCTGCTGCTAACCTATTGTTTACCATGGACGAGCATGGCAGGCACTGCCCGGGCCTGCCTTAGCTAGCCGTCCCATAATCTTATTGGCAACAAAATGCAGCCACATGACATGAAACCTAGTGGGGGTAGTCCTGGGGAGTCGTCAAGAGTGTGGAGTGGAGTGAGGACGTCTTGGGAATCTTGGGAATACTGACTGCCGGGCAGCTGCCCGTGTCTCACAGTCTTGAATTCGAGGTTTCATTGCAGCTGTGTATGGCACTGTGGCATGAGGGCATGTGGCTGCATGTGGCACGAGTGAGAACAGAGAGGCAGTAGGCGAGCACTTGCTTTATACGGCACAAACCCCAATTCTTCATGCTTTGATGTGAGACGCGCCAACCTCGGCCAAACGAGGCACTAGAGGTCTGAACCTGCCCCAACTCGAGCAAGACTAATTCCTTTTTCTTGCGACGGGTTTGCTGTCTCATCTAGCTTCCTTCAGCTGTTGGCTGAAACTTTTTGGGCTCTCTTGCATGCGTTTTCAGCTATGGGTGGAGATGTAAGTACATGACCAGGAAACTGAGACAACGGTGCCGCAAGAAAGTGGGGGCGTGCAAAGATAGGGGGGGCTTAGGTCAAGTCTCGGACTCTCGGCTGCTTCGCTAGCACCTCTCCAAAGACAAATGACCGAAGCATGCTCGCATGCCGTCGATTGTTTCGATGGCAGTGGGATGCGAGCTTGTGCTATGACATGTCAGGTGAAACTTTCGAGTCTCGTTCGTTGTGTATGATCAGCAGCTCATGCTGCTGATTGCGAAACTTTTCATAGGAGCGCTCGAAATCCCAAATAGACTTTGGCTGACGCTCTACCACAACTCTCTGGACGGGAACTCTTTGGCAGTAGGCGTCCGCAGGCAGCAGGTTCGTAAGGTCGTTCTCGGAGGCGCCAGGTTGGCTTGCATTCACCAATGCTCTCGTGGCTGCTATGCATTTTCGAACGTGGGACAAAATGATCCGCCCATCGAAATCCGGATCCAGCTCGTACATTACTTCCAGGAGCTGCCTCAGGAGTTCTGTGATGTGTCCCAGACTTGAAACAAAGACTGCCAAATCATTCTTGCTGCGAAGGATTATGGAAGCGTGCTTGCGCAGTTCCTAGTTATTGCTGCCAAGCATGTAAGGATGGCACGTCCTCACCCTGTCCTCAACAAACACCACACTGTTAGCCAACAAGCGGCTGGATAGACACCTGCCCCTTCTCCACGATGCGGAGTCGCTGCCTCAAATCTTGCCACGGTCCGAAGCCCCTAATTAGCGTGTCCTGCCACTGCCTCTACATACCGAACACTCACAGGATTCGGAAGCAAAGTCGTGGACAAACATAGCACCGCTTGGAACCCGTTTTGCAGCCATCCAACCTAGCTGCTGCCGAGATGCAGGCCCTCCAGAAACTCGGCGGGCTCGAGAACACCTCTCTACGGACTTCATGACGGCCCTTTTATCTTCGTTTCCAAACCTCACGTAACCCACATCAGCACCACCCACGACTGCCGTGCTTCACAACGGCGCACACACCCACCTGGCACACCGCGGTTCACCGGCTTAAAAAGGTGAGGCAGTCGGGCATGGTGCTCGCGCATTGCCTGCGGAGCGCTCAGGGCTCAAGCTGGGAGGTGACGCTGGGACCACCAAGGCTCACTAAGGGCCTTCACGCTGGGATTACGGGGACTTCGCTCCAGGCCCCGGGGGCCTGGTGGAGGCCGAGGAAGATGTGGGTCGCCATGGCCTCATAAGTCTCGCCGGCCTCTCGCTGAGACAAGGAGATCTGCACCACGGTTTTTCGAACGAGAGCCTCCAGCCCCCAAGCCAGTTGTGGGGAGCCATCTGGTGTCGAATCCTCCTGTCATACTCAAGCTGGGAGACTCTCTCCGTGCATCTCGCGGTCTCTGTTTTGCTGAAACATTGAGCCGGGCAGCTGCTCCAATCGCGTGAGTTTCGTTGAGCATCTCGTCGTTCGGATATCCAGAGTTTTTGATGAGCGGGTCAGCGAAGCGACCTTCGAAGTGACCTTCGTCGCGTCAGATGCTACACGTCTGGAAGCGTTCTGAAGAAGACGGCCGGGCCTTGCTCAAAGCGGACAGCCTCGACGAATCTTTCCTGCCAGAAGTGACCAGCATACTCCATACCCGAAGCCCGGAGCAAAGCACTGCCATCTTGCCTGGTCTCGCTTTCGGACGCAATGTGCTCGGTGCTGGGTGCAGCTGCGGTGCGCATTGTTTGTGGGCACCCTGGACTTGGTCTGCTGCCTGCACTTGAACCGAACGATGACAGATCCAGCTTCTTCAAAGGGTAAGCTTGCATCTCATTCTGCAGGTCCAGAGTCTAGAGGAGTTGCTTGCGCAAGTGCACACCCCCTAATTGCAGTGGAACTGGCTTGCATCTCTCGCTTTCGGCGGGCCAGAGGGTGTCCAAGTACCCCCCCACCCACCCAAACTGCGGTGGGGGAGTCCGAGCAGAAGGCTGGCACTGACTGCACTAAGACGCACCCTTAAAGGCTCCGAGCACTCTAGATTACACCCAAATCTCTCCCCTCCCTCCAAGATCGAGTCAATCAATAGCTTCAGCGATAGCTCGACGGTCTCACACAGCATACGTCAAACCCACCAAAAAAACTCCTAAACATGATGTGTCTGGGCCGCTACCAGTAGACCCTAACACATAATGATGTAGAGAACCTTGTTGAAACCTTGAACCCTGAGCGAACCCTCAGAACTAAAACAACTTCACCCTACAGTTCCTCTCAAGTTCTGGCCTGTGCTGCTGGATCACTGCGTCGGCCTTTCCCTTTCGGACTGGTCGATCCCGGCCCTCCGCTGTCCTCGAAACTCTCCAGGCGCGCTCTCAAAAAGGAAATCATCATTTTATTGTGGTCTCGCTACGCAGAAAGGCCGAGGGTACGAATCAAACCCAGAGAAGCCGGAGGCCTGGGTCTCAGATCTGCTGCATCTTTGGGATGCCGGTGCGGCGGCTCCGAGCCCTTTACCTCAGCAGCTGAGTGGAAGCTTTTCTTCTCTGTGAGGCTGTAGGCATAACTTCCCAAGTTAGGATCCCAGGATCCCTTCTGCGCGGTGAGTTATAGGAGGGTGTTCGGGGTTCCCTCCTATGCTTCACAGAGAACGTTCTTGGTGCAGAGAAACAGCAGGGGAGGAATTTGATGACATGACAGCGTTTGCAGAGGGTTCTGTGTCACTTGTCGCATGGCCGTATGCTTGTCGGTGCGAATTTGTGGGGACTGCTGGCTGCTGCTCAAGACATGGCCGAATAGAAACTAATCCGCGACATGCGGGCACAGGCCTCTTCCCGTCCTTCTCAAAAACATATCATAAGCACAGTCGCCCAGCATCTCGGTGGCATGAGGCAGGGCTCGATCATGCTTGTACCATATGGACCCTGCTTGCAGTCGGGGCCTGGAAAGTAGACGCCACAAAACTCCTGCCGATAGGCAGGGCGGGTCGGTCCACCGTGTCTATTCCGGACCTGCTGCTGATAGGAGCGAGGCCGTACTGAGATTCCACCATAGTCGTGGACATGCAGAGGGGACGGCGGACGCTGAGCATGGAGTATCTCAGAGTTGTCGAGGCGAACATGCGCCGGCAGCACAGAATCGCTGCGATATCTCGACATGCTCCCAGTTGCACTTTTTGTGCTGCTAACCTCGCTCGCGGTGTCCGCTTGAATAAGGCCTCGGATTCACGACATCACTCTCTCAAAGAAGAAAACTTTCGTCCGTCAACCGCGTCCAGCAGTGCCCATCTAAGTCATTCTAAGTCTACTGCGCATGCATCATCAGCATTAGATCCCGAACCAAGAAAACGCATGCGCGACTCTGCCTGCTACATACTTTTTCGGCACCAGGGTGGCAAGCCGAGCAGCGTTCAAACTGGACGGCCCGCGCGCGAGCCCAACCTTCGCTAAGCCGGATAAGCTCAGCCTCCTCCTCTGCCTCCTCACGCGCAGCCTTCTCCTGTGCGTAACACCCTCTAGCTTGGAGACTCCGAGGCTGTGAAGACTTCTGAAAGGCTGCGGCTCCTTCACAGCGCGCACATGGTCGTCAAAAGCACTCATCTGGTCATAGGTTCGCTTCACGAGCTTTTGAGTGATCTCCGTCTTAAGCCTCGGCCGTGCATAATCGTGCCTTGTCCACTCGGGCAGGGGCTCGGAACTTCCACGCACCCAACAACATGCAGGACACTCACTGGAGCGAAATGTCTTGCTCCAGTACGAATGCTCTGTGTAGTCAGGCAAGGTTTTATGTATGCACTAGCAGCAAATCGAATCCCCGGCAAGCCAAGACCAAGCTGGCGACTGTTGTGTGATCTGTTCCGCATTACGGGCCCGCTGTCGAAAGCTGGAGACATTGCGCCACGCCATGTTTGCATCACCACGAGCGCATGCTGAATACCAACCCGAGAAAACAAGCGAGCAAGAGTGGTTGCAGTGATGCTTCGAAATGACCTGCAGTAATCGACATGGATACTGATGAGCCATGTGACGCCGCTTTCTGATGGTGAAACAGGGTTCCTGGCTTGTCGCCTTCGAACCCAGCTTCGGCGGTTTAGCAGTTGCTCAAGGCTTCCCAAGCTTGAAACATGCCAAAGCATGCACGCTACCGGACCGGCACTGCTAGACATGCTAGATCCTAGAGTCATGCGGCAACAGCAACGACGAGGATGGAACAGGGATGTGACAGCAACGATGGCCTCAATGCCAGCATTTCCATATAGCTTGCTTCGTCCAGGATCGGAGTGCAAAGAAGCTGGGCTACCGTGAGCAGCAAAAATGGTAGCATCTTTGTCGATTCTGGCAGTGAGCAGAGGCCCTCCTTGCAAGTGCCTGAAAATTGCCACATTGCCACATATAGCAGTATAGCGGCTGTACTAACAATATTGAAAAGATAGAAAGCCGGCACAAGCTGCTTTCACTCGTACGCCGTGCTTTCCGCAGACGGGTCCTCCGAGCAATAAACCATGAATGGATACCGAACCGACAAAAGAAGTGGCATATCATAAGGGAATCCTCCTCCAGGCTCGCAGAAGCCATGAGAAAGGACAGCCCGCTGAGTAGGTAGCATACCTCAGCACAAGCACTCTTTGTTCACCAAACACACCTCCACAGGTCTAGCAGTTCCCGTTCGAACCTTGTTTATAAAACCAGTCAACCACTCCGAAGCTCCGCCCAGGTGCGCTGACGCTTACCTGGAGGCCCCTGGCCAGGTCTTCAGGTGCCAAGAGGCCCAGAACCACAGGGAGACCGTTGCCTAACCTCGGAATGCCAACAGCAACTTCCGTCGCAACGCAAAAAAAGAGGCGACTCCGATGAGCTTTCCCAGTGGGATGCAGAACTGGAATCGCACCAAGTCGCACCAAGGCATGCGACCTGACTGTGCCTCTTGCAGAGACTTTCGGTTTCGCAGTTTCTCAAGCTGATGGTGCTGCCGTCGAGGTACGCGGTCAACGACGAAAAGACGCCCTCAGGGCAGCTGTTGTGCGACGGCTGTCTATGCTGTCTTTTACACTTAGCGGACTCAGCGTCTCTCGAACAGAACAGAAGCCCGGCTGAATGCGCATGGCCTGCGCCGTCCCGCGCTGGCCGACCGACACTGCACCCTGCAGTGCAGATATTGCTGGCCCGAGCCAACTTTCTGCAACCAGGTACCTGAGCCGTGATCGTTTCTGTAGCAAGCATAGTGCCGGGCGACGCTCGCAGGAGCTAGTTGCATCCAGGAAGCTCGACCAGGAGAAAACCCATGCAAGTTTCGAAGCTCAGTCCCTCACCCAGCGTGCAATACCTGGCTGCTAACCAGGCTGTTCGGGCCAGTCAAAGCAATCCGAACAAGTCTCTGCCCGATGTGCTCATGGCCCGCAATTCACAAGTTTGTGGCAGTCGAAAATGCACCCCGGCGCACCACAGGGGTGCGGACGCCAGGCTCGTAACGCCACAGAATAATGCCGCGGCCTGATCACCAAAGCCTGCCGACCGGCTGCAGGAAGTATGCAAGAGCCTCGTAGACATGTGAAAAGTGAGGCGTGGCTTAGGATGGAGTTTTGACTACAACACCCCGAAGTGAACCTAGGCAAACTGCGGAAACATGTGCTGTCCCTGACTTCAAGTGGCTCTGAGTGGATTTCGCCATGATTGGTCGTACACAGGCTCTCTGGTTTCCTTTCAATTGCTGGCCCTGTCCAATCGTCGACATCTCGCCTCTTGCGCGGAGAGCATCGGCCGTGACGCCTGCTTGATCACTGAGGGCTTTCGTCGATTCGGATCCTGCTGTGGTAAAACATCAACCATAGCAAGAAATCGATTTTCCGGATTCCGAAGGCCACTCCGAAAATGCTCCAAACCGTGGTATGCATCCCAGGTTTGGCTGCACGTCTTCTGTCTGACGTCTGGCCTCCTGCTAGCGAAGATGCACCGCCAGCGAATGCCTTGATGAGGGAATTGATCACTGCAAACCTTATCTGGTCTGACCGGTAGCGGCAGGCAAATCTTGAGATGCGACATTTACGACTTGCATCTTTCTTAGCCCTTTCTTCATGGTATGGGTATGGAAGTCGATGCATGCCAGGTTGTGCGTCCACGGAGTGCGCGCAATGCATGGACTGCCCCTTGCAGGGCAGCTAACCTTTGGGCGCATCACCCAAGCACCCCTTCCTTTCCGCTCCTGAAAGTAGGCGAAACCCCCACCCCCACGCGGTCTCGCTCGGTCTGTGCAGGCTTCCGCGCTTCTGTGGCCTGCGGCATATTACGATCTTGCCCCGCCACTGCGCGTATACTCTTAATATCCTCTTTCTGCGTCGCTCCTCACCATACTCGTGCGAATGCAGGGCTGGATTGAGCATCTAATGGCACACGGCACTCGTGTTTCATCGGCTGGGGCTCAGTCTGCTCCACATCATTCGGGAATGACGCTCGGATTGCTGTCGGCAGCCAGACCAAGATGGCGAATCCTGGCATTCGGCCGGTGAGTTGCAATAACCTCTATCACTTCTGCCACGCTATGGACGTGGTGTGCATTACATGGTGTCGTTTGCAGCTGACTGGCTGGGCCTGCGCTGAAACGAAGAGTCGACGCGAGGAGCAGCCAGCGTGCAGAGGGTGCGGACACGGCCTGCACTGTCACAGAGAAACTGGGAAAAGCCTTCAATCGTAAGCGCAGTGGCGACGAGTGTCGCCACAAGCGGTGTAGGACATGCGCCGCAGCGTTGGCACACTGTCCGTGCGAAACATGCTCCCCAGCAAGAGCTTGCACGACTACACATTTAAGGCCTGGAGCAGCAAGGTAAGCGGCGCAGGCTCGGGTCGGAAAGCGTGTTTGGTAAGGCTTATGTAACCCGGAGCTGCGCTTTGCATTAGGAGCCGGATCTTCCCAAGGTCCCAGAACAATGGACGACGGCTTGGTGCTAACTTCATCAACGGAAGAACAGCCGCCTCCGAAGATTTTGTGATGACGCTCAGCGCTTCCTCGCCGGAGCAAGCATGCAAACGTGGCATCTCCTCCGGCTGACATATGAGCCCACGTTGGACCACAAAAGACCATGGCCCTTTGTCATGCGAGCGACGCCAGGCAGCGCCACCACCTTTGATTTCCTGGGGTCGCACGGGTCCATCTGTCAACCGTCAGCAGACGATGGAAGACGCTTTCAAAGAAGTCTAGGACAGAACGGAAAAGAATTGAAATCAAGTGAGCTGCAGTTGCGCGAAGGGATCGGTTGGCCATCGCACTCCCTCTTTGGATGGCCCGGAAGCCTGCGAATAATGTTCATAGCTTCATGTTGTCTGTTGTGCGATTGGCGAAAGACGCTGCCGGATGCTTCCGGCTCATGCCGGTGGGCCGCCTCGCTTCGGAAGAGGAGCGGCAAGGATGCCAAGGCACCTCACCACTTATTGTCTCCCGCCTAGCTGGCTGGGTTGCTCTGCAGGGAAACTACACGGGGCAAGCCCCAGTAAAACTTGACGCCAAAGGTCAGGTCCGTGGGAACATCTAGCTGCCGAAATCAAAGGCCGAATCACAGCTAGGGATACAGGTGGGGCCACTGCAACAACAGCGGTCTCTTTGACAAGTGGCTGACGAAGCCAAAGTCCAAGCAGGCCGTCCTCCACCCTTCCTGCGAGTGAACAAACCCAAGCCGCGTGTGCCCTGCACAGCACCCTACCATGTCACAGCTCGTCTATGACACCAAACATCATCAAACATCAGTCTCTCTCGTCGACGGCCGCACCGAGGGAGGCCACCGCCCCACCAACATAGATCCCCAACCCGAAGATAGAGTTTGCAGTCGCTCGTGCCTTCACTGATTCAGGGCCAAGAGACTCAAGCGCGGAGTCTCACGGTGCTTCTATATCTACTGATCATTACTGATTCTCCGCCTTCGTCTGCACCGCACATGCTAGCGCTCCTCTAACCGCTGTGTATACAGGCTCATGGCCTATAGTTTGATGCCGCATTACCGTCAGGGCGGCATTGATGCATACTTTTTGGCGGCAGTAACATGTATCCTGGCATCAAGCAAAACGAAACAGCTCATGTAAAGACCAAAGCTGAGCAACGTCTGGAAAAAGCTCCGAGATGACAGAGAGCGCCGCAGGATTTGTGGCAGCCTCCGTTTTCCGGATGCCGGTCAGTCACAAATTGAAAAATGGCGCCAAGAGCTAGCACGATCGGAACAGCACAGTGGCTCCCTGCACTGTCCTGGAAAAGTCCCAGCAAGGCCCGCTGGAACAGCAGCATGTTGTAGGATGCGGCCGATGCCATGCTGGCCGTGGCAATCGACCTTTGCATGCTGCTGTGGGCATGCAGAGGAGTGGGTGCTGGCCGGAACAACGAGGTTTAGTGACAAATGTTTGTTGCACTTAGGACCAGACCAGCAAATCCCCGCCGCCGCAGTCAAGCGAAAGCGATCGACGCTATCCGCTGCGATCCCGGCCCAGAGCGAGGCGACGGTAAACCTTCAAAGGGCTCAGTCGAAGGACTCTCCCGAGCTTCTGAGCAGAGCTTTCGCCACCTACTCGTATTCGCCGTATTCGCGCCCATCACAACCCCTGACGGACCGTCTTCACGAGCACCAAGCAGGCCGAGATTCGGGATCGTGAATCCCAGTGTTGCGAAAAGGCCGTAATCGGCCGAGCTGAAGGCTAAGTCCTGCACCGGGATGACTAAACGATTAAACTGGGCGGCGGTTCTCGGACTCTGTAAGCAGCATCCGCAACATCCTCAGACCTAACACAGCCAATATGCGTCTTACTGTATGGGGTGCCATGACATGCAACGGACCTGCACTGGCTCTTATACGAAAAAACTCAAACTTCGGGGTTCCCGCGCTCGACATGAGAGTCTAACTTGGGAAGAACGTCGTGCCCGTCAGCACCTG